CGCCGCGGGGCTCCGGGAGGGCGGGAGGGCGACGGCGGCTCCCGGGTGCGCAGCCCGCCGCGCAGACGCAGCTCGTCCCGGCGAGTCTGCGCCGTCCGCGGGTGCCTGGCGCGGAGGCGGGGTTCACGCTGCTGCCGAGGAGAACGGGTAGATTGTGTACTTGTGCCCCGAAAAAGAAGAAAGCGACCAGTTGAGGAAAAAGATGGAGCCGACAGGCGCCAAGAGAGTAGTAAAGGCCGGGGATCTAGCTCAGCGGCATCACGCCCCCCTGGCGAGGGCACGGTCTTGAGTTCAGTCCCCGGAACGAAGGTAAATAAAAAAGAAGAGAAACCAAAAAAAAAAAGTGCTTACAGGGTTTTGTTTCTGTTTCCCGAATTTCGCTAACTGAGCACATACTGTTCTGGTTTTGGAAGGAAGTATTTTGACAGCAGTCCGTGGGAGGAGGGCTCCAGCGTCAGGGTGCAGTTGTCCCGCCACAGCCCTGTCCTGTTACCTTGTTAAGGAAGCCTTAACCCCGGGGAGCAGCGGCGGAACGTCGAAGCCCCGTTTTGTGCTGCATCAGTCCAAGGGATGCGGAGGTGAGATTGCTGCAGATGCACAGCTGGGGGATGTTCTGCAGTGCCATGGACCACAGCCTTTGAGGAAAGAAAAACGACTAAGCTGCTCAGCATCCTGTAGGCTACCCCTGGACTCACAGACCGTGAGGGCGCACGTAGTGTTTTTAGTTGTTTTGGTACAGGGAGAAAAACTGATCTCGGGTGGGTGACCTCCAAACAATACAAGGAACCTCCAAATGACAGAGGGAAAAATGATCTCCCGACATGACTGCACGAGTTCGTGTTCTCTAACACCGAAGGATGAATTTTAGGAACAAATGGAGGTTATGAGCAGAATACATTTATTGAGGGAAACAAAGCTCCTGTCCAAGAGAGGGACAGGAGGGGGCCCGAGCGGGTTGTCCCCCGGAAGCTGTCTCCTCCAGGGACTTGTATAGTGTAAAACCGTGCAGGGCTAAAGTGGAGAAAATGGGAACTCGCTTAGGTGGATGTGAGGTGGGACAAAACTGTGGTCAACCAATGAGATGACAAGCACCTTGCTCAGGTAAAGTTGATTAAGTCCAGGACAAATGGGGAAGGGAGTCGCAGAGCTAGCGGGCAGGAATGTAAAACAGGACTTTATCAAGTAGCCATCAGATGAAGATTCTCCCTGGCTCCCTCAGGGTGATGATCAGTCCCGACGCTGAGCTTCAGGGAGTGGGCACTTGTTTGGTCTTGAGGTCCCTCTCACAGTTGTGAGGTCTCTGGTCTTCTGTGGCACCTTCTTTGAGGGCCTGTAACACTTCCCTCTAACTCTGGCTGCCCGCCACAGGTTCTCCAGCAAAGCCAAGTGACCCTGAGTGCAGTCTGAAGCAGTGGCAGTGCTCTCAGAGGCTGAGGCAGGACGGCTGTTGTTTGAGCCTCGGCTGGGCAGAGTGGCCGCTTAGCAGGACCCTGTGTCAGAAAGAGAAGGAGAGCGAGCGAGAGAGCTGTGGACTGTGGCTTCCTGAGAAGGCCCTAAGTCCCAGCCCCAGTGCCACAGTTTTGTTTTGTTTTTAATACAGAAAATTTACAGCCACTTTCCCCCTTCACTTCACTTCATTTTCAAGCTTTGGGAATGAAACACAAAAGTACTGTGTATGCCTTGTGAGCAGGACAGACAGAACGGAGAGCTTCAAGTCCCTGCTCCTAGGGCAGGGTGCCTGTCACGCTAGACGAGTGTGCTGAGTTTGCTAGCCTTTGGCTTTTGTTTTTAAAGACAGGGTGCAGTGACCCTTACCACAAGGAAAGCAGGGCAGGCCAGCAGCCAGGGTGGGCCTTAGCTGGAGCTGAGCCTCAGCCCTCCCAGGCTCTCTTCTCTGCCGGCTCTGGCTCCTAAGCAGGGAGATGAAGGAGCTGGCCGAGAGGTCGTGTGAGTTTGTGCTGTCACAGTCTGGCTTTCCCCAGAGGGGACAGTGACTGGCACTGGCACTTCAGACCACATGATGTAGTCCTTTAATCAGGCTGATGTGAGGGACCATGGTGACTCCTGTGGCCCTTGCTGATCTAGGGCAAGAGGCATGTGGTTGGGTCAAGGAGCAGAAATGGCACCAAGGGAGAACTGGACACACCCATGGGGCGCCTTTGTGGTGGCCACCTGCTGACTCAGGGTCAGCAAAGCTGTGACGCTCAGTGCAGTGCTGCAGGTCCCCCGGGAGGGCAGACCAGGTGGCCCGGGCAGCTGCAGTGGCAGCTGGGCTTTCACCCTCAGGCTCAGCCGTGGAGGTCTGCTACTTGGTGCTAGAGAGCAGACACGTGGGCAGCGTGTACCCTGTTTGGGGGACCACTTTACCCAGAAATCCTGAGCAGGTATCAGGACAAGGCTTGGTGATAGAGTTTGGAGGGTAGTTAGTGTCCGAGTGCATAGGCTGTTGTTTTTAAATCTCCAGGAGAGCCAGCAGGGGCAGCCAGGGTCCTGGCTCTGGCTTTCTGCTTCTCTTCCGATCACTGGCTGATCTGTCCAAAGTCTTTTCTGCGTAGAGTTGGTCTTACCGCGGGAAGGTGGCCCAAAGGCCTGGGAGCCATCTCTCTCTGTTAGACATGAAGCAGGCTGTTGAATGTGCCAGCGGAAGTGAGGGCTACGCTGTGTCTCTTAACTCCCAGCCACCCACCAGGGCCCAGCAAGGTCAACAGCTTTACTTTTGTCGCTTCTAGCAAAACCAAGAGAGCTCACCAAAACCCTTCCTAAGACAGCACTGGTGCTCCCCACGCTGGGAGGGGAAGCTTGCTGTTCTCTTCAGAGCTGGAGTCACCAAACCAGGTAACCTATGCAGGTGTGGCAATGGGGCCTGTGAACCCGACCTGGCAGCTGACCTGTGGACAGCACGAGAGGGGGTTCGGGGCTTGAGTTTGAGCAGCATGCACTTTGTGCTTTCCTGGGTTGCCTCTCAGGTCTGCCTCTGTGGGGGCGATTCATGCTGGGGCCCACTTGCCCCAGCAGCCTGTGGGTACCGTGTCACATGTGGGCCAGGACAGGGGGCCCAGTGCCTTCGGAGGTGAGCAGGTAAACCAGAGTCCTGCTGCAGCTTCGCCAGCGGCATGAGCCATGGTGTTGGTGGTGGCCGGAGCAGCCTCCCATCGTGCCTTCAGGTGCCTCGTGCCCAGACGCCACCCTGCAGGCCCGCAGAGCTCAGGGCGAGGATGTGGAGCTTCCCAGTCAGAGTTGGCCCACAGTAAAGCCTGTGTTAAAGCAGGCAGGGAAAGCACTTGTAGGTTTTTGCTGCTGTGACGATCGTCAGATTAGGACTTGCGCACATATAGGTGTGGCCCTGCGTCTGCAGTAGTCCCTGTGCCTTCTGCGCCCTTCAGGATGGGTGGCCAGAGGCTGCGGCACATCTGTGTAGACCGGTGCCTCGTGCAGCGTGCCCAGTGGTTCTCACTGTGCTGTCGGGCTCACTGAGCACTGGCAGCCAGCCTGTGGGGAGCAGCCTTTCCAAACTGGGTACACCCCACCAGCTGGAGACTCCAGGGGGGCTTTGCTGGCTCATTCTGAAAGAGAAAGTCTGGAGTAGGAGCTGTCACTGGCTCCTTCAGTTTTAAGAAGTTGAGACTGACTTCTAAAGCCTGACAAGCCAGACAAGTCGCAACTTGGTAAGTGTGATGACTGGAGCACACGCTGGCATCTGCTCATGGCAGACAAAGGGTCTGGGAGTGCCTCTGTGGCTGCGCCTCATCACGCAGAGGGGACCCAGGGTGGGCAGGCTGGCGTGGCCCTTGTGTCAGCAAGTGTACAGTGAGGGCAGGGAGGCTGAGCGTGTCTTAGGAGTGGTGGAGGCGATGCGGGGCGCGTTGGCAGCTCGCTGCACAGGTGCCTGCCCTGGGCAGGAGTCTGCAGCCCGAGGTCACCTTTCCACCAGCCAGGTGGACCGGGGATCAGTAAAGCCTTTTCTGGGTGGAGGCCTGTGGGCTGTAGCACGAGTGAGGAGCAGGAGGTGAGGAGGCAGGCCCAGGTGGGTGGCCTGTCCTGTATCCTGCGCATCCCTGCTGGTGTTGGGACAGGAGCACTCTCCTTGGACGCGCTTCCAGAGTTAGCTTTCAAGTGACAGCAGTGCCGTCTCCTAGCACGGAGGCAGGGTGTTCCTAAGTCTGTTAGGGTTGGCGCGTGAGGCCTGTTTTCTGTCCTCTCCAGTGTGATTAAACTGAAGTCGCATTGGGCAGTGATTGTAAGAAGTGCAGCGAGAGGACAGACTTCTGTCTTGCCCTGCCGCAGGCTCTGCAGCATCTTAGTTGGCCTTGTGTTTAGAGTAGGTGCTGTGTCCCTGTGGTCCCCAATACTTCCCTGCCCCAGGGAGCCCGTCACCAAGGGCGGGTGAGTTCAGGGAACAGGGCCAACGCGCTGTGCCTCCCACCCGTGGGGTAGGCCATCCGTGCAGGTGTGTGTCAGGCTTTCCTGGCTGAGTTGAGAAGTACTGTCCTGGGGAGGGAGCTGGAGAGGCCAGGAGGGGTCTCCAGGGCAGGACAGGCTGCGCCTCCCCCAGCAGGTGCTCCTCCTAGGCTGGTGAGGCTGCCTGAACCCTCAGGGCACTTGGTCCAGCAGGCAGGCGCCCTGGAGCTGCAATGGGTCTGTGCTGATTGTCTACGCAAGCCCAAGACACACGCACGCACGCACGCCGCCCAGGACTCCTTCCTGGTGGGTACTGGCTTCAGTCCAGATCCATTGCAGTAATAGAAGGACCTGAGGACTGCAACGGGCGATGCTGATCCCGGCACTCGACAGCAGCTGGGCTCTTTACAGGCTGAGTGTCTCTTGTCTGAAATGCCATAGTTGAAGCTCTGTAGATTTCGGGGGCAGGGGTATCCCTCTTGAGTTATCTTGGGGATGGAACCCAAGAATGAACACAAAATTTGTTTCATATTTTATTACTTTATACGTGCAACCTGGGGGCATTTCTGCACAGTATGCCCAAGCTGGTCTTAGCCTCCTACGGGTCCCCTCCCCAGCTTCCCAAGCAGCTGGGCCTCTCAGCACTGCCTATGCTGGTGACTCTTGTATAAAGTGATCTTGCCTGTGACTTGTCACATGACATCAGGTGTGAGATTTTCCACTTGGGCATCTTTCAGGACTCAGGAGGTTCCAGATTTCAGAGCTTTTTAGCTTAGGAAGGCTCACCCCACACCTTGTGGCACACATGGTTTCAGTCTGGTGGCATCTGCCAGGGCTTATGCTCTGGGCCCCCCCAAGGAATTCAATTTTCAGAAAATCCGAGAGGCCACAGGGCCAGTGCAGGGAGGCATAGGGTTTGAGCTAGGTGCACCTGGCCTTGGGCCCATGCTGGCTGTGATTGAGGTATGGTGGGGCGTAAGGAGGTTTGCTCTGCAGGCAGTCTGGAGCCCAGGCAGGCTGTCCTGGGAGTGGTGCACCGAGGTAGAGTGCAGGACTACGTCCTTACGCAGAGGCATCTTATGCTGTGGCACTGAGTTGTGTGGCGCCTTGCAGGCTGCACGAAGCCTGAGCCCAGTGTGTGGGCTCCTATAGGAAGCCCTTGGGCACGTGTCCACCTTGGGGTGTCTCTGCCCCCCTTTGAGGGGATGCCTCTTGTCTAGGGTTTATTCTCCTTCGTACTCCAACCCTGTCAGTAGGTGCTGCCTTGTTCTGTAAGTGCCTGTGAAAAGGCACAGAGCTGAGAGGAGCTGCGTGTGCGTGCCTTGCTGGGCAGCGCTTGTCTTCCTGAGTCAACACAGGTGAACTCTTCTGCTCTAGGTTGAAGCCGATACATGAGGGTGTCAGGTAGATGAAGGTCCTGGAGAGAGCCGTGCTGAGTCTTCCCTGGGAAGAGCCGCGCCACGAGGGCTGGCAGCCCCGTGTTGGCCCCGGGACAGCTTGGGACGATGACACCTGCCGGCGATGGGGGCGCCTCAGCGGGCATTTTTGACCTGGACTATGCATCGTGGAAGGTTCGCTTGACGCTGGCGGTCGCAGGCTTCGTCTTCTACCTGGGCGTCTTTGTCGTCTGCCACCAGCTCTCGTCCTCTCTGAATGCCACCTACCGCTCCCTGGTTGCCAGAGAGAAGGTCTTCTGGGACCTAGCAGCCACACGGGCTGTCTTTGGGGTCCAGAGCACAGCGGCAGGCCTGTGGGCGCTGCTGGGGGACCCTGTGCTTCAGGCGGACAAAGCACTCGGCCAGCAGAGCTGGTGCTGGTTCCACATCACCACAGCCACCGGCTTCTTCTTCTTTGAGAACGTGGCTGTGCACCTGTCCAGTCTATGCTTCCGGACTTTTGACCTCTTCTTGATTGTCCACCACCTCTTTGCCTTCTTGGGATTTCTGGGCTCAGCGGTCAACCTGAGAGCCGGCCACTACTTAGCCATGACCACGCTGCTCCTAGAGATGAGCACCCCATTTACCTGCGTCTCCTGGATGCTCCTGAAGGTGAGTGTGTGCTGTGGGTGAGTGGGCCTGCCCAAGGGTGGGGGCAGCTTCTGGCCCAGCCTTCGCTGGCTGGAGTGTCGCCAGATCCGTAAGCCCCGGTACTAGGTCACTGCTGCCTGTGCACCGAGGTGCTTGTCTGGCCAAGGCCACCGTATGTTCCCCAGGCTTCCTGTTTCCCAAAAGAAAACACAGCAGACCCATGACTCGTGAGTGTGCTGAGCGCCTAGAAGACGTGCTCGGCTCCTGCGAGGCCTCACAGAGGGAAGCAGCCCACACGCGTGCGCATCTGGTTCTGCTCCCAGGGTTGGTGCCGGGGGGTGACCATGGTCCGCCTGCCCTCGCTTGTGCCCCCTGGTGCAGTAGGGCCTCGCGCTGCCCTGGTCTCAGCCCCTACCCTGGCAGGGTTGGCAGTGCCTAGCACACCCTTAGTGTGTGCCTTCCATACGTGATCAGGATGCTTATTTTATGTGAACATGTTCTTTGTCTTAAATTTGGGATTCCTCTTGGGCATGGGCTCTTGCCATCTTTCCTGGGTGCTATAGGGTGCTTTGTTCACAGGCTGGTTTGCAGGAAACTTAAAGGGCTAGGGATAGTCGCCAGTCACAGCGCAGGACCTCTGAGCACGCTTGCTCCCTTCAGCACCCTGGGTTGCTTCAGGCAGGGCGACGGCAGGAAGCACTGTCCTGCCCCGAGAGCCTGGTGCCTGGACTCTGTCACGTGCAGCCCAGAGCACAGCAGATGTGGTGGCGAGGCCTGGGCCTGAGTGGGCATGTGAGCCCTGAGCCCACTGCGTCACGGCCGGTGCCCTCACCAGCACAGTGCCTCACAGGACAGCCGCAGAAGGGACACGGGCGCAGCACACTGAGGAGGCACAAGTGGTCGTTTGAGGAGATCAGCAGTGGCGTGGGGCCTGGGGGCCTTACCAGGAAAGAAAGCGAGAGCTACATGTGGGCCGAGGGTCTCTCTTACGAATGGAAGGAAGCCGCCGGCTAAGCGTGGGGCCGTTTCCAGGGAGATCCTCGCCCCTGGCCTGCCACTGTCTTGCCTACATCCCAGGCTGCTGCAGTACTTCTGGGTGAAGCTGGGCATGACTCTCTTCTCTGGCTCAGGACAGGGCACCAGCATGGGGCACATGGGGCAAAGTTGTGCTGAGAAGGGCTAGCCTGGCACTGTGTCCCCATCCGCACCCCACACATGGACACACAGAGCTTGACCGGCTGAAGCCTACAAGAGCACTGCTGGGGTCACACGCATGTCTTGAAACCCAAATTAACAGTTGTCGTTTGTTTTTATTTCTGTTGAGAGGTCTTTGTTTTGTTAGGTTTTTGTTTGTTTGCTTTTGAGATAGGTCTCTTACTATACAATCTAGGCAGGCCTCAAAATTACACTGATCCTCCCGTGTCTGCCTACCTGGTATGGACCACCACATCCAGCTGAAAGATCTTTGGAAGGAAGGAAGGAAGGAAGGAAGGAAGGAAGGAAGGAAGGAAGGAAGGAAGGAGAGAGAAAGGGAAAGGAAAGGAGGGAATTGAAAGGCCCCTTCCAGTCCTGGGAAATCCGGGTTGGGAGTTTCCCAGGGTCCTGCTGCTGCTGGTTGGGGCCACACCCCCAGGGGTCTGTCCCTCTGCATGGGCCATGGTCAGCCTCTTCTCCGGGGAGGCCTCAGCAGCTCTAGAGACTCTGGGGTGAGGCACCCACTAGCCCCAGACTTTCCCTGGGCTGTGGTGCATACTCTGAGGTCGCTGAGTACTCCTGGCTCCCACTCTGTGAGCTGCGGGGAGCCAGCACACCCGGATTCTGCCTGAGTAACAGCTGCCTGCATCGTGTGTCCTCACTCGAGTGCTGCTGAGTGTTGTGAGTAAGCCGGGTCAGAAGCAGCAGCGTCTGAGGGGCCTGAGGGGCTGGTGGGTCCTGGCAGAGGGGGCACTAGGATCCAGGGATCCCTCCTGGACATCTGACTGCACCATAAGTGCAAACCCACGGCATGCATGCACGGGCGCCGTCTGTGCCGTCGAAAGCCCTGCAAGGTTCGCCATCACAGGTATAGGTTGGGATGAGGGCCTTCCACGGCTCTGAGATAGTTGCAGTCAGCGAGCGGCTTCTCCTTGCTGCTCCTGCAGTGTGTATGGTGAATGGTAAGTGGATTGCATAGGCCTGGCCTCCAGCACAGGTGTCCACACCCTCATCGCCTCACATGCAATCGAGTGGTAGTAGCCTTTTTCCGTGTTCACACGTGAGTGCGCGTGTTTTTGTGTGTGTGAGTATGTACATGTGCAAGTACGTTGTGTACCGTGGTGCCACAAGTTTGCCGTGTGCCCCGGCCTTCCCCCGTGTATTTGGTGGCACTGACTGTAGAAGGTTTCGTTACTGCCTGAAGGAACAGTGAGACCAAAGAGTGTTCGGCTCTCAAGCTTTGGGCTTTCTAAACTTGATCTCTGAGTTACATTGCAGTTCCTGTCTCTTTTTCTTTTTGTATTTTAGGGAAGGGTCTGCAGGGTGTTCAGGGTCTCACTACCAGATCGGACTCATGGTGATCCGCCTGTTTACAGCCTCCCAAGAGCTGGGATTGTAGGCAGTGCCACCACGCCCCTTCTCGAGTGCTAGTCAAGCATCAGCCTTTCTTTCCTCCCTCCCCCTCCCCC